CCCGCCCTGGTCCCCGTGGCGTTACCGCTCGCCCTGTCAGTAGGCTTCGAGGGTCCGCATCGCAGCCAGGAGACGAGGCCTGGTTACGTTAGCGGGCAAAAGGCCTGGTTGAACTTTTTCACCTATCGAGTGTACTTATTTCGAAAAATTTTAGGTATTTGTTGGCAAATAAGTTTATTTTTTTGTCAGCGATTTTTTAAAAATGCTTGTTGAGATATAGGCAGGAAAACTCCCAAAAGATTACTCGTTTGAAATTCGCACCGGCCGTGCGCATGGTCCCAGGCCCATAGACCGCAGCCTCACCACGCACGCCACGACCACACCATGCTGCCGCGCTCGCCGCCGCGCCAGACCATTCAGATCCAACCACTCATCAGTCCACCGGAGGTGTGAAGCGGGCGGGACCCCCTTCTCATCCCAGCGCCGAATGGAAGTGACACATTACGCGCTTCCGAGAACATCGAGTTGCCACTTCGATACATCGAAAGTCGATGGTTGATGGGCGTAATTGTATGTTCCGGGAATGAGCTGCGGGCACGCCACCACACCACGGCACGGCGGGGCCATTTCAAAAATGAAATTATATTCACGTTTCGCCGCCTCGTCTCGAAACCCATCGCTAACAATCGGAGGCATTACGGCGGGACGCTGTTTTCGACGTTTATTTCTCGTTCTTCGTCGGCGGGCCGAGGGGCGGGGCCACGGGGCCACGAGGCGCTCAGCAACCCCCTCTCTTGGAGAACAAAAGAAGAAGGCTCGACTTGACACCTCGCGCGTGGAGGCACTGAGGACTCTTTGTCAAATTTAAATGTTAGAGGAACACTTAAACTTTGAGTGCCAACGTCAAAGTCGCTAAATGTTGGCACTTTTGTTTAAGGCGCCGAGCTTTGTGCCCTCAGGGAGAGCCCAGGTGGTCGTTTGCTCTCCGAGGCGTTCAAGTATACGGTGCTCCAAAAGGTATTGGGACCTGTGGCCCCCGCACCTGGGCGGCGCGAGTCATGCGCGGGGGTCCGCTCGCCGGCCTGGCGCTCGGATCAAGTAAGCCCCATGACGCCTGCCTCGTCGTGTTATGACAAGACCAACACTCACACACACACTCACACACACACTCACTCACACACTCACACACACACTCACACACTCACACACACACTCACACACACACTCACACACAGAGAGTTAATTATCGTGTTGTGCGCAGCTCCCTGCCCCGTCGGCTTTGGCGCCGAATAAAGGCTTCGCTGCCGGAGCCTCTGGGCCAAAAGTGTAATTAGCCCTGGCAAATCATCTTCCGCAGCCCGTCCTGGACGGTCCTGGACGGTCCTGGACCTGACCGCGGGCTCACGGTCCATGGGGCTCGTTATGGCCGGTCCACGCAACAGGCTGGGCGCCTCGTCACATTCGGTCAAGGAAAGGGCAGCGGCGGGGGGCGCGGCCCGGGCCCGCATCCCACCCTGTATACCCGGTTTATTAAAAATGAAAGTTGAAAAGAGCGTTCTCAACAGTAAAAGGCCAATGTGGCACTGAAATAATCAGCAAAAGCACTCCAGTTATGTTTGAATCTGTTCTTCGCTTGCATATGAATATTTTGAGATATTTTTGCTGTCGCTGATTGTGGTTTAAAGCCCACGGGATTTCCCACTTCTACAGGAGTTCGAAGATATGGAAACATGATTCTCACGAGTTTCAACGACTTGAAATGCAGAGTTACAGGCCTACAGGTCCGTTTTTCTGATCTATGAGAAGGCCGCCTGGTAGGCAGGCAATATCTTGTTGTTCAGTGCAGCGGAGATGGGTGGGTGGCCTACCCTACGATCGGTAGGCGTCCAGGCGGGCTAGCTCAGATCGACGTTTTTTTCTGTTTGTTCTTTCACGGAACGCCAAACAATAAAAAAATGAAAAAATAACATTTGAGCAAAACTGACTTTAACTTATAAATCCACCAAAACGGCAACTTTTCCAAGGTATTTTTTCGGTTACCATCCCTTACTGTTAGAGAGGCTCTGGAGTAGAGGTCCTTGCCTGATCGGCCCGGTCGGTTCAGAGCGTGTTTATTACCTCATCCGCAGCGCCACGCCACGCCGCGCCACGCCCAGCCATACCTCACACGGCCAGGGCTGTAATTCACGCAATCCAAAACACGAAAGCCAAAAAACGCCGCGGCGGGTCGGGCCGGGTCGGGCCCGC